GTGCGGAGACCCATCCTCATCCACCCATTGGCGCACGCGCTTGAGAGCCATCGGCGTGCCGCGAGCCTGTTCGATGTCACCATACTCCGGCGGCGGACAGCCAATAACGGAGCTTTCGACGACGTTGACCGTGTCGGCCAGCTTCGCCATGGGCTTCTTCACGTCGGTGGAGCGCTCGTCATACCGCGGGGGAGAGTCCTGATCACGCGGGACAACGTCGAAACCCAATGTCGCGCACGAATCGGTCTCCAGCTGAGAGGTACTATCATGGTCGTCGATGGCGAGATCACGATCTACGGCAGCGTCGTCATCACGTACGGCAAGTACCCTGCCACCTTTGCCACCATACAGCCTCTGCAAGTCAACCGCTCGCAGATACGACTGTAGCTCTTTCTCTGTTAACACCGAACATCGCTCAGCAGCTTCAACGCAACTGTCAAGCACAGACCGCAGTACTTGATTGGCCGGAATGTATAAGGAGAATGATGGAGAGGCGGCGACCGATGAAACAATGTCAAGGACATGCCGAGCCGGGTCGTCAAGAGCTTCGTAGTCGGGAAAGTCGTTGGGTACGATGCGCTGTACGTGGACGCCATTGCGCAAGTTAAATCGAAAGTGAGTTAGGTCGCCCCTGCCAGCCTTGCGGCCCAGCCGCCTCCGCACGTTGCCTAGGTGAGGTAGGTCACGATTCTTCAATTCGCAAGTCTCATGGCGGAACGAGTCGAGGATGTCAGGCGTAATTTGCATATATATGACAATTTTGTTGTGCTCGCCACCCAAGATGGTAAAAGTGAGACGAAAACATGCTGTTTCTGGTGACAGATACGCGCTGCTGAACTTGACTGCCTGGTCTGCGAACTCGTGCCGCTGTTCGTCTGGATTTTTGTACACCACAAAACCATCGACTGGCAGTACTCGCGGGCCCATGCTGTATCATGTGCCGTGTTCGTTTGCGATAAATTTCCTAGGTGTAGCAGCAGAGAGGAACCTGGGTACCTACTTGATCACGGCATTGTCTCACCATTCGATTGAGTCCTTCGCAGGTCGCTGTGGACAAGATAAGCTCCGACGTGGCCGCGATCTAGCTCGAGGTGCGTTGGGGGCTCTTGGTCAAGTAGTAGGAT